AAAAAAAAAAACAGCTAAAAACACATCTTTTTAAAATTGCATTTTGTTAACTTTTGACTGTTTTTGTTTTATACCTTGTAAAGCACTTTGTGATCTTTTATCTAGAAATGTGCTATATAAATAAAATTTTACTTTTTACTTACTTACTTTGTGCAGTTCTAAAATGTTAGAATATTGATGTTAGAGTATTAGTTTCAATTTCCATCTGTATGCTACATTTGAGAAAAGACAACTTGTATAACAAAATATCCTTTCTTTATTCTTCCAGTCTTATACACCAGTTTATTTATTTATTTTTTTCTGCCTGTCCCGTTTGACTCTTTTGCCATCAGAATTATTGTCTAAAGGCAAAGAAAGATGCCGAACGGATTTACTTTACCAAATGGATCATCCCAGCCTTGCCGTAATGGTCTCTTTGATTCACCTTTTATTGTTTATTTTATTTTATTTTCACTTGCTAAATACGGGGCAGACTTGACTGGGGGAAAGAAAGAGGGAAAGAAAAACAGCAGAGAAGAGGGCAAAAAAACAAAAACCAACAAAATAAGCAGACAAAAAAATACATATATCAATCACCTGGATCACCTGTTGAGAAAGAAAAAAGAGATAACAAGCAGAAGAAAAAAAAGAGCAACATAATAAACAACATCATGATGATCTATGGGAATATAACAGTAAATACTAAATATTAAACACAGTGCACAGTGTGCTTTGAGGTAGGAGCCAAAAAGGGTGTAGTTTGTTTGTGTGAGCACCCGTGTGTACACCTGTGAGCATGAATGTGCTTGTTTTTAAAAGGTTCCTTCATGTAATGATCTGCTAGAGGGTGTGGGGAGCCACGCCCCGTCCACCAGGGCATGAAGCAGGTATGGAGGAGATCAAGACTCCAGACATCCGAGGCCCTCAGAACACGAGAGACCAAGGAATATAAAAATTGCTGTATTTCAAAAATAAAACTATGAAGACACTCAAAATAAATTTCCTGTGGTGGGAAACTAGTTTGTGCAACTTTTTTGTATTTACAGTTTTGAGGGATAAGCCTCTTAAATTTCTCTAACTAGAAATATATGTTAACAAACAAAAACGATTTTAAATTCTTTTGTAGTTTATTGCACTTTTTTGCAATTCATGTAATTACTATGCACTTAATGCATGCATATTATTAAAATTTAGGCTGTAATGGTTGTATTGATGTATAGCAACTTGAAATGCTCCCAAAAATGGCTCTACAACATGTAAAAATATAATATAAGCTCTGGCGGACTTGGTTCTATGGTAGGTCTTAAAGGGTTAATGTTGAATTCTCTCGCAGCTGCTCTATTCCCATGTTGTTGCAGTATATTAATAACTAACCTCGTATTGTGGATGAATAATATCAGTTGTTCTCCTGACTGAAGTTTGGCCCGTGTATTGCATCCTGCTATGCGATTGCATTTGTCCCTGGCCACCAGAATCCCTCACGTTAACTTTTATCGAGTGGAAAAAAGTTGGCGTTCATCCTCCAGCTTCACTGTGCTAATGTCATGCTAACATAGCTGTGTCGCTAGCAATCACGTAGCACAACATTATATACCAGGTAGTCCAACTTCAGTAACCCTGCAAACCCCACTGCTGTTTAGTTTTCTGTCTTCATTTATGTTGGAAGTGATAGCAGAGCTGTACATTTTAATTAGTTTCAAAAATCTCTGTCAGAATATCGTATGAAATGTTTAGGTGGAAACTAGCAAGCTAACTCTCTTCTAACTTCGAACTCCGTTAAATTTAATAAATTCTGTTTTCATGGATGCCTGGATATTAAACTTAATTGTTACACCTGGTAAAGCAGCAACGCTGATGATTTAATTAAAGATGAAAGAATTTAGACCGTTTTTTAACTCTAAGTGTTCGTTTGACTTTGGGACCTGAATTGGACGGAGTTTTGGACCCAGATTACTCCGCGAAGCTCCTCACTACGGCAGCCGTAATGCTCTGACAATCCATCAAGCAGTGCGGCTTACCAAAGTTGTGCTAAAACATTTTTTAACGGATTTCTGCACGCCAAAATCAGTTCAAGGTCAGTAAGCACAACCAGAATTCATACATAAGGCACACTCTCGATTTTTGAGAAAATTAAAGGACTTTAAGTGTGCCTTTTAGTGTGGAAAATACGTCATACAGAAGAAAATAATATATCGCGATATATATCATTACCGCACATGCTTCAAATTATATCGCAATATGAATTTTAGGCCATATCGCCCAGCCCTAATTCCCACCCTCATGCTCCCATATGCAATTACTCAGCACTCATTCAACGTGGAGACAGACATAAAGAGACACTTTACACACAATCACATTCCCCAAGCGTACTCTAAGCCTCAGGTCTAGGTACCCTTGCCCCTGGAGGGGCAAACTGCACCCAGACCCAGGTGGTGTCACCCTTTTCCCTGGGGTGGAGAGAAGCAGACTGCCCCGACTTGGCAGCAGCAGGGAGGCCCCACATTCCAGACCCCAATCGGACGGCCAACTCCTCCTCCTAGTCCCCCGCTCCAGCAGGCCACAGAGTACAGGGGTGTGTGAAGACTCCAAAACACCAGTTTGTTATTGAACCAAATACCCAGACAGGGTTTTAATTCATTTGAAAGCCTGATGCATAGCCTTGTCCATCCTACCTGGAAAACTCAAAAACCAGTACTTTTTGTTATTATCTATCATCCACCTGGGCCTTATACAGAGTTTCTCTCTGATTTTTCATACTTCTCATCTGATTTAGTGCTCAGCTCAGATAAAATAATTATTGCAGATGCTACAGATGATAAAAAGGACAGCCTCAATGCAGCATTTACCTCCTGATATTGTAGCTCCTAAAAAATGGAAGCCTCAAATCAGAAGTCATTTAAGTTAAGTTAAATGATGTTAGTTAAGCTAGAACATCTTACTAATCATCAGTGATTGAAGAAAATAAGAACAACCCTCGGTTTCTCTTCAGCATTTTAGCAAGCTGACAAAAAGTCAGAGCACTCTTGAGACAACCATTCATTTAGTGTTAATGGTGATAACTTCATCAATTTCTTCACAAATACAATTTTAACCATTAGAGAAAAAATGACTCATAATCATCTCTCAGATGTAACATTCTCTACAACTACCTTCAGTACTGTTGATATTCATTTAGATACTTTTTTCTCCAATTGATCTTTCTGATTTTACTCAGTAATTACTTCCTCCAAACAATCAACCTCTCTTTTTAGACTTCCTTCCATCAAGGCTGCTCGAAGAAGTCCTGCCATTAATTAATGCTTCAATATTAAATATGATCAACCTATCTCTAATAATCAGCTATGTACCACAGGCCTTCAAACTGGCAGTAGTTACACAGTTAAACTTTACTTAAAAAGCCATCTCTTGGCTCAGCTGTTTTAGCTTATTATAGCCAATCTCTAACCTTCATTTTTATCTGAAAGTGCAGTTGTCAAACAGCTAACAGATCATCTGCAGAGGAATGGCTTATTTGAAGAGATTCAGTCAGTATTCAGAGTTCACAGCACTGAAACAGCTTAAGTGAAGCTTACAAGTAATCTTATGGTCTCTGACAGTGGACTCATCTCTGTGCTTGTACGCCTAGATCTCAGTGCAGCGTTTGATACTGTTGACCCTAATATTCTATTAGAGCGATGCATGTTACAGATGTATTGGAATTTCTTTTATTGATGTATTTCTAGCCTGGTTAAATTAACCAGCCCAGAACACAGATTATCTTTGGGGTTCTTTTAATCTGAATGACAAAGTAAGTGCTCAGAAGAAAATAAAAAGGTTGTCAAAATAAAGAAATAAAATTGTTACAGACAGTTCAACTTTGTGCACTGGTAACCCACTGCTACTGCAGGTTATTTTCCCAACTTTATCAGCGTCTGGAACTCAAAGGTGTCTAGCGTTAATTTGTGACTGATATAAACCCATCCAGAAACAAAACAAACTTAGCAGTGCAATAATGACTGTAGTGGTTGTTCCTGCTAAAATACAGAGCCAAAATTAAACAGTTAACAAAGGTACATTTTCCCTCTTACCCACAGAGATATTATAATACAAGTGTGAACTCAAATACATACAGTGCCTTAATCCAGCAGAAAAACGGAATACAGAGCGCTCTGAGATGAACGGCAAAGTCAGTTGCAGCAACTCCTGGTGCCTTAACTGTTCCACACTTCGCGTTTAAAACAAACCATGCAGCGAAAAACGGCATTACACACCCACATTACACCAATGCAAGCTAGCACTTCCGTGAATGTTTCTGTAGATCCCCATCGTCCGTTGCGCTCTCAGAGGTACCCCAAAAGAAACGGCGCTATCCAGTGGCATGTCCCATAATACCGACCTTTCACCTGGCTACATATTGGTCACATGGCATTTTCCAAGGCCTATGGACAGTTTGGTGTAGTTCATAGGCACCTTCTTCATCGCACCTTTCTGTAACTTGGATAGTTGGCTAACTTCCCTCCATTCTACTTTGGTCTTTGCTTCTAGTTTCCTCCATGGAACTGCTCCTTGTGGCTGTTCATTTTGTAGCTAAGCATCTTACTGATCACTGCTGCCATGGTGTAGATGAGCTGATTACTTAGTAGGGCTGCACGATTTTGCATAAAATGAGAATCACGATTTTTTTGGCTTAGAATTGAGATCACGATTCTCTCACGATTCTCTTTTCCAGTATAAATATTTATTGCACTTATTAACTGCACATCAACTTGGTAACAGTTGAGACTGAACACAAAAACAATAAATAAACATAAAAACAACAAATGTCTCACGTTTTGTTGTTGCCGCAAAATGTACTGCTTGAAATTTCGTCTCCACCGTTGCTTGACACTGCGTGTATAGAGCAGGTAGTGCAACAATAGAAAAATAGTTGCAGGACGGCACTGTGTAGCGTTTGTCTAAGGTGTTGATCATTTTCCTAAATCCCTCGTTTTGCACAGTGTTGATGGGAGCCATATCTTTGGTCAGGTGATAAGTGATAGCCTCCGTAATTTCTTTGTGCCTGCGGGAGTTCAACAGGTATAGGGAAGCGCTGTATAAGGTTCCCGTTATTGATGTTTGGGTGGTTGACCGGGACGGATTTTCTCCTGTCACTTTCTCGTCATCCCTGACGTGCTCTCCGTTGTTTTTTCCCTGCTAATTTTAGCATCACACGGCACAGCTTCTGTATCACGTGGTATAAGGCTCCGCCCTTGTCATTTGTTGAGCAGGAAGAGTGAGCGCTTGTTTTCATGAAGATTACGTCCCAGATCAAAATGCGGTACAATCGTGGTCGTCGTCTTTTTTTTTTAATCGTTGTCATTTGGAAATGAGATCGCACATAAGTATGAATCGAGATCGCGATTTTCTAACGATTAATCGTGCAGCCCTATTACTTAGTTAAGTTTATTTAATCAAGGACAGCACAAAATACAATGTTACATGATGAAATAATGCTGTTGTTGTTCTATAGTTGGAGTTAAAAAAATAAAATAAAATACAGCAAAGATTAAATGAGTCAGTTCACACACACACACACAGAGAGAGAGAGAGAGAGAGAGAGAATTACTATAACTAATAACAGAAAATACATGGCCATGCATGTTAGAAATAGTGTGTTATCCAGCCACAGCAAAAGCAGGCTGGTTTACATCAATGTCCACAGATTTGTTCATTTTCAGCCATTATTTCACCTGAGATTTAAAAACCTCTAGGGTTTGTTGTTAACATTTTATTGCAGATGATAAACTGTTCTAAATCTGAAGACCTTTGAGTAAGAATGAGGACTGACCAAATAATGTTTGCATAATAATAATAATAATAATAATAATAATAATAATAATAATAATAATAATAAGATTGCAGTCTCCAAGAGCTGCTCCTGTTGTTACACTTTGTAAAAAGTGTAACAAGAGGAGCGGAGGTATGTTTTCCTTTGATTTCAGATCACAATTTAAAAATTGCATATTTTTTATAAACATTTTTTATTACGATGTAATGTGGTCTGCAATCTTTCTTCTGGGTCTAGAAATGTGGTGGAATAAACCAGTCTCTTATTTTATGAGGGTCAGTGCCTTTCTGCATAATTTTAGCTCAGGACAGGTTTTTGTATTGCCAGATATCACTGTGGCCCGATACACTGTTGCACACAGTCATACAAAAACCTCTGGCTGATACAAACTCTGAATAGTGTATTGTCATTTTTTTCTTTGTATGATTGTGCTTAAGATTCATGAAGCTGCTGTGGTCTATATATTACAATGGTCTTGAGAGGTTAAATGCACTGTTAAATGCAACTTAAGGGAACACAGTTTTTTCAACTAACATTGTTTTTTATTAATCATACGGTGTGTTTTATTCAACTCCCGTTGTTTATTTTTTCTATTTTCCATGCGCAACACATGCTGGCATTTTCTTAAGTAGCGGTGTGTTTGACCTCTCAGTAACTCTTTTTTAAAAATAATTTAATTTAATATTATAATTTATTATAATTATTCATATTATAATTTATTTTATTTTAAATCGTGAGTCCTAATTATATAATGCTTTGAATACCAGTTATTAACTAAGTAATTAAAATCATTTGGATGTTCAGGCGTTTAACCATAAAACTGTGTGTATAGTTTGGAAGTAAATGTTCAAATAAAGGTTTTAAACAAAAAGGGACAAATGAGTGGTCTTTTTTGTCCAAAGTAATCATTTTTCTAAATTTTGCAGTTGCTCTTAACTACTGCTCTTACTGTATGTAGTCAGTAACACTTTCATTTATACCATAGTGATTCATGTTAGTGAAACAGTGGATGTGTGCGAGTTTCATAATCAGAAATAATGCAAATATTTTTTGTTGAAATTTAGAATATCCTCATATTAAATGACTCAATGAAAGGAGGTTTTGGTCACAGGATGAATCACTGTGGTTGTAATACTCCACTGTGATGAAATCCTACACAAAAACTCCACCCTACACCCTATCTTTACATAAACCTTTTGGTTGAACTTGCAGATTATATATAAAATATATACTTTCTAATTATATTTTTCCCCATACATAGTAATATTAATATAGTTAGCTTTCTCAGAGAAGTAAATTCTGTTTAAATAAAGGCTCTCCTTACAGTATATATCACATAAACACATTCTCTTTACAACACAAAGACCTTGCCTTTCTTAAGGAGGTTTTTGCAACTGTGTGAATCAATGTGGCCACCCCAGATACACTGTGACATATCACAGTTAAAAAACCTATGCCACCTGTATAGCTGCCATCCATTATTAGAGATACCCAAGTAAACAAATATCTTTTTGTTGTTTGAAATATTCTAGATGATGAAAAAAAATTTATATATCGCCATAGGAATATAGGAACATAATATAAACACATAATATAAGAACAGAGAAACAGCAGAAAACCTCAAGAATTTAACTGAAAACATTTTTGGTACTTTGATTTCAAGTGTTGTTAAGAACCTTAACAACAGAGCAACATCTTGAAAGGCTTTCTATGTTTATTACATTCAGAACTCAGGACATGCTCTCTTTAAATTTTAAGGTGCCAAATGTCTTCACTTAATTATACAGGCAACTGTTGTTGAAAGCAAAATAGTATCTCTCTCTCTATCGATCTATCTATCTAGATATATATCTATCTAGATAGATATAAATATATAGATATATCTACTTGGATGAGTGACAAAATGTTTTTCTCCCACAAAACGCTACGCCCAGATGAACATAATCAACTTTTGGAGAATACAAAAATATAGTTTTACATGAATAAAGTGCTGCTCACAAATCAAATTGCTGAATCACAACCAAAATAGATATCAACTCTAATGACGTTAAACTGGTTATTAACCTAAATATTCAATTAGTTAGGCACATCATTAAATTGGATGAGGTACATTATTTCTTTATGTTTTTGTATGGTTATACATCACAGTGCCCCCCAGCCAGTGTATCACAGTGACAAACAATAATACAAAAAAGCAAAGTCTGTAAAACCCTGTATTGTAAGGGAACCTATACTGGCATTAGATGGAAGAATGAAATGTATATTCTGTCATTTCAAAAATTGTAAAATGACTTTAAAATTATAATCTTTACTCTATTTATTTGTTAATTCTGACTATAAACCAAATGAACACCTCACTTATATACTATTAAAGTATATTTCTAATTTTTAATTTAATTTAATTTGAGTATTTCTTAAATATATTTAGAAAATACTAAAAAATACCTATATTATATATTCCATATACAGGCTTTTAAAACAAGTAATACAATGTGGATTCTTACTATCAGTGATAACAGCGACATCTGCTGTGCTTTCTGTGCAGCTCTGTGGCTTTCTGTGTCACTGTAGAGCTAGAGTCAGCCTGTTTACATGCAGATATATCTGGTTATTGTCTCTGTAGGCGGTGAAGTGAATCTGGATGGATGTGAAATAGTATTTATGTCTTCTGCTTTGGACAGAAATGAAGGCAACTCACTTCTGTGCTTCTTTTTCAGCTTTTTGGATCCAGCTGTACCGACAGAACCAGCCTCAATATGTCCAGGTCAGTTTGTGGGCTTGTCCAGGCCTTTTTAGCATTGGTTCAGACTCAGACTAAGAGTCTGACTGCAATCTCCTGGAAGAAAACCAGAGTGATAAGAAAAGAGCCAAAAATAAACCTAAGTAATTTATAACTACAGAAAATGTAGAACTGTCTGTGGCGTGAAGAGGAACCTGGTAGCACTCAGCGAGAACCCTCCCAGAGATTGGTAAGGGAAAATACAAACGCCATTCAGCCTAATGTTTTTCTTTATTTTTTTAATTGTGAGCACTGGACTGGTAAGAATCCTGATAGAATCCAAGGTGGCTAATGTTGACTATACAGTACTATATGTACTTAGTTAATTGTTAATTAGTGATTGTTTTTCCAGATCCAAGAAATATAAACAATCAAACTGTTAATGTTGATATATTGTTAGACGTGATGCTACTGGGTTTGCATCTGTTGATGGTTTGAATCACTGTGGTCACAACAAGCACATTAAAGCTACAGTTGTGTCATATGTTAAACTATTTGCCCCTTCGTAATTTATTATTATTGTTATTTGGTATTTGTCTTAATTACATGTTTCTGAATCTGAAGCAAATTTTAATATAAGACAAAGAAAACCCATGTAAATACAAAATCCAGTTTTTAAATGATTACTTAATTGTAACTCTCCAATGGATGTCACTTTTGCAGAGACTATTTCTCATTGTTGAATGATGAATACGGGCCATACCTGACACAAGTTGGACGTGCAGTCTTTAGATGTTGTTCTGGGATCTTTTGTGATCTCCTGAATGAGTCATTTTTTGCTGACCACTCCTGGGAGGCTACATAACACAATATACAACTTTTCTCCATTTTTGGATAATGGCTCTGAATGTGGTTCCCTGGAGTCCCAAAGCCTGAGAAATGGCTTCGTAACCATTCCCAGACTGACAGATGTCAATGACTTTGGTTCTCAGCTGTTTCTAACTTTCTTTAGATACATTTTTGTAGCCTACTGCACTTTCTCAGAAAGGTCCTTTCAACATGAATTAAAGAAATGTAACGCATTTTCCCAATAAAACTTGTTGTTCACAGTCGGGAATAATACATTTAGCTTCTTCTCTTCCTCCCAGCAAAAAGATACCAAAAATGAAGATAATTTGCACTTTTGTGATGGTGACAATTTGCAGAATGGGTGGGAATCAGAAGGATGTGCGCCGGCATTAACAAAGAAAAATACAGGGCAGGATGATTTGTGTGTTTGTTTCATACCCTATCAGTCAAAACCTACATTTGTGTTATAAAAACAAACCTATTTAGTGAATATGGTTTAATATCAACAGTTATATTTCTTCATTCTATACAAATGGTTTTAATAATTTTGATAACAGAAGATTCAGTGTGATCACAAGCAGCTGAAACAGACACAGAGTTTAGTTGACAGTGAATAAGCAGATATTCAAAGCTCAGTTTCTCTTCCTCACCCTCACCTCCTGAAATGATACAGATGAAGACATTTTGCACATTTGTATGGGTGCAGCTTGCAGTATGACTGAAGGGTTAAGGAGGATGTGACTTGGTATTAAAAGAAGGGGAATACTGGACAGTATGAATTAATGACACAAGGAGTAACTGAAGGCTAAAGAGTGATCAAAGTTAAGAAATGATCATAAGAATCAGGGTTTCTCTTTTTTTTTTTGTTTTTTCTTTTCTTAAAATAGACAAAATAGCCTAATTCAAAAGTCATGGACAGATGTGACACTGACTGTCCTCCAATGTTCTAATAAGCACTACTTTTCGTTCAGAATACTAAAATTTGTGGTTGTTTCTCTTCCTGGCTATGATTTTAACAACAAAATCATACAAGCATTGTCTCTGAGGTATGAGAGAATAGTCTTAAGTTGTATTTTTAACAAACATACATTATGGTGGATTTTGTACAGCCATTCAACCAGCTCCAGTCACTGTGGTCGTCGAGCACAATAATAAACAGCAGTGTCTTCAGTCTTCAGGCTGTTCATCTGCAGATACAGCTGCTCTTTGCTGTTGTCTCTGGAGATGGTAAACCTGCCCTGAACTGACTGAGAATAAAAGATTCTATCACTGTCATATTCGATGATTGCAATCCACTCCAGTCCTTTTCCAGGAGCCTGTCTGATCCAGGCCATCCAGTAGCTGCTGAATTCAATGTTGGAGCCTGTACAGGTCAGTCTGTGGGAATCTGCTGGCCTTTTAACCACTGATTCAGACTGTGTTATAGTCTGACTTTCAACACCTGTTGGATTAAAGAAAGAACAAAGAAAAGTGGTCATTTACAATAACAGGAAGTCCTACTGCAGCAAAATATTTATATCTGTAAGTGAAAAATCTTCACCTGCCAAGAACACAGTTAAAAGCAGCAGTCCTGCCCTGAAGTCCATATTGTTAAAGTGTGAGTCCACTGCTCTCTGTCATCCTTTCTGCTGTTAGATAAGTACACATGAAAGACATTGCTGTTTTGCATTAACTCCTCCTCACTGGAAGAACTCAGAATTAATCATTTTCTCAACATGTTTAGAGTCCACACAAATTTAAACCACATTATAATGTTTGATTTGAGCCAGAAATTAATTAAATACAAGTTTAAGTCTGTTTTACATTTTGTACCTCACATCATTTCAAACATTTCTATATTTCAGCAAAAATGCTTTTTGAAATCAATTTAAAATTCAAATTTTGTTTCCATGCTTTCTTAGAAATAAATATGAAAATAGGAGAGATTTTAGTCATTACCATGACAATGAAATTATCATGACTGTAGGTGCAAGACAGAAAAAATAAAATGCTGTTTATCATAGTTATAATAGTAGTAGTACTTCTTGTGAGATTTGTACTCCTTTGTCACTCTATTCACTGCCTAATTTGCTAATAATGAAGACTTAAATATTCTAGTACAAACAATAAGATAGGCTGTTACATGATTCAGTGAAATAACATAAAGAAACTAAAAGTAGCTTACATGCAATGGCTGAATGCACAGAGGATGCAAGAGTGAGCATGTGCAAAACACAAAAACTAAATGCTTTCATAGCCAAGCATACAAAGGAGAGGAACCACCAGATGCTCTGGCAAATCTGCTTTATTGTGCACCTGATCCTGGCATGCTCAGGTGTGGGTGTGAGCTCCACCCATTAATTACCTAAAAGAAAGGAAACCAGAAAACAAGGCCAGTCACCAGACCATCACTGTAGAAGGATGCTAGAAGAGATCTCTACATCAAATTAATTTTTGATATGATGTGAAGCAGCTAAGACAGACACAAAAGTGCTAGCTCATTCAATATGAACTTCAGGCAACACACAGATGATTGTTCTATACTAAATTAGAGGTTCCGTAAGTTTTTGTTCAATACTAAAGTAAAGTACAATAATCCAGGTAGGAAGTGATAACAGCAAGAATAACTTTTTACAGTCCTTTTTGCAGGAGTTAGAACAAAAATCATGCCCAGATTTTGTGCAGGAGCATGACAATAAAAAATCATATAACTCAGAGTTTCAGAAGAGATTCTTTAGGGGTGACACAGTTGGACACTTCTACCAGTAAATTATACCATAAACATCTTTGACTAAAAATGAGGAGACTGGTCTTCATCCACAGCACAGGCTCCTGTGGATCTCTGCTTTTCAGTTTGATTGGCACCTGGATGTCATCAGTGAAGCAGTGGGACGATATATTATGCTTTCAAGAGGCCACATATACAATAAAAAAAAAGAATTGGGGACAGAAACTCTACAAGTTCTTGTAGTACAGTACTTTGAAGTTGAAGATTAAATCTTTGGAGCTGATCTGTCTTCTGACTAACAGGCAGACATATTACTCCCTTTTAAGTAACAATTATTTGCATATTCTTGAATATATTATGTTCAAGTTCAAAGTTTATTCGCCACATGCAGTGGCAGGTTGCCCTGCAGTGGAATGAACCCGCCCCCGACCTTACACATACAACACAGACATCACATGGGGATACAAGTCAGAGAACGGTTACATTACAGAAAAAAAACACTGAAATGTACACTACAGCGGGAAAGGTACAAGAGGAAAAAAAGAGACCTCTACTCATGCTGGGCTACAGGAGGACAGCATGAGAACAGGAAACAAAAAAAAACTCCTCTGCACAGAAAAGCACACAAATGTCCACAGTACAACATTATAGAGCACGTGACCAGCAACAGGGTTGGGTAGGGGGATAAGGAGTTGTTTTGAGCCATTCAAGGTATCAGCAGTAAATAGACAATCTGTTTTAAATGTAATGTATTGTTACAACTCTATTTTCAGTTGAGTAAATCTGTTATGTCTAGAACACACAGTCCCAGACTGACAGATGTCAATGACTTTGGTTCTTAGCTAAGAACATGATGCTAAAGCAGTTCAAGTTCTAAAATTGGCAAGGCACCAAAACCTGCTGGTTTGTTTGAATTGATCATTACATATTTCAATCGAACTGTCTATAATTTTACTTGTTTTTATTTAGTCATTTATATTATTTTTGCTTAATGCAGCCAGTTGTTGTTGACAGCATGTTACCAGCATGACCACCCATCCATCCATCCTTTTTTTTCCGCTTATCTGGGGCTGGGTCGTGGGGGCAGCGGCCCAAGCAGAGAAGCCCAGACCTCCCTCTCCCCAGCGACCTCCTCCAGCTTATCCGGGGAATACCAAGGCGTTCCCAGGCCAGCCGAGAGATATAATCTCTCCAGCGTGTCCTGGGTCTATCCCGGGGCCTCTTCCTGGTGGGACAAGCCTGGAAAACCTCACCCAGGAGGTGCATGACCTCACTGGCAATAGCTTTCCTTTAAAAAGTCTTGTGATTAATTTCAACAGGAGCCCCAGAAGGGGCATTCATTGTGCCCTATTCATTGTGCCTTATGGCTTCACATTCAGTTTAATTGATCATCTATGTTAAAACTATGTACACCCTACAACACTTCCTATGTAAGTGGCCAATGTGGTACAAGGTGGAAGTTGGGTTACACTCTTCTATCCAGTCTTATCCAGCCAGTTATTAAGATTGTGGCACAAGAAGCAGCTTGAGTATTGGACTAAACAACAGCACTGAATTAAATTGTTGCAACTTGTTAAGATGTTGTGGTCTACATTTCTAGGGTGGGACATTTCAGGTTTCTGGTTAGGTTATGGGATTCAGAATAGTCAGCAGTTAGGCTATATCGCTCTGCCTGCCCACCTACCTGAACAGAGGTAAACACTCATGCCATTACAGTTCATGCCATGGAGTTTGACCTAATTCCAAACTCGTGTGGGCATGATTACGATCCATTGACTGATAAAATAGAGAAAAAATTATTTTGCATATTATAATAACAGCCCAAACTTCCCTTTGTGATGTTAATGCTATTTATTTATTTTATTTTTTTGCCAGATAAACCTAATTTCAGCTGCTACCTTATTCTGAAGGGGTCAAGACTGCAGGTACTGTAGTGCATATTTGATTTGGCAGAATTTTATGTTGGGTGCCTTTCCTGATGCAACCCCATAAAGTTTGTGTCTCCTCCCAAAATCGAACCATGTGAATGGTAAATGTGAATGGTTTACACATGGTGAATGTGTAGACCACAACACCATGGAGCCACATTAGCTTTGCTTTATTCTGTACCATGGGGACAACTGTAACTGATCAGTACCCAGTACTTACTCAGTATTTGTGCAGCTTTGTTGCTCTACGCATGGCTTGGGCTCTGGAACCAGTCTCCTGGAGAGGGGCTGGACTCTGTCTCTGTCTGGAGTTGCCCCTGGTGAGAGGCGGCGGGCTGGGGTGGGTATTCTAATATCCCCTTGGCTTGCTGCCGGTACGTTGGGGTTTTTCCCGGTGGACGAGAGGGTTTATTCCCTGCGCCTTAGGGTCGGGGAACGGGCCCTGACTGTCATCTGCGCTTATGCGCCGAGTGGCAGTTCAGAGTACCCAGCCTTCTTAGAGTCCCTGGGGGGGGGGGGGGGGGGGGGGGGGGGGGGGTGCTGGAAGGTGCTCCACCTGGAGACTCTGTTGTCCTGCTGGGAGACTTCAATGCTCACGTGGGTAACGACAGCGAGACCTGGAGGGGCGTGATTGGGAGGAACGGCCTCCCTGATCTGAACCCGAGCGGTGCTTTGTTATTGGACTTCTGTGCTAATCACAGTTTGGCCATAACGAACACCCTGTTCGAACATAAGAGTGTCCATAAGTGCACGTGGCACCAGGACGCTCTAGGCCGTAGGTCGATGATCGATTTTGTAATCGTATCACCAGACCTGCGACTATATGTTCTGGACACTCAGGTAAAGAGAGGGGCTGAGCTGTCAACTGATCACCACCTGGTGGTGAGTTGGATCAGGTGGCGGGGGAGGACGCTGGACAGACCTGGTGCACCTAAACGCGTAGTGAGGGTGTGCTGGGAACGTCTAGCAGAGGCCCCAGTCCGCGAGATCTTCAATGCACACCTCCGGCAGAGCTTCAACAGCATTCCGAGGGAGACTGGGGACATTGAGTCCGAATGGACCATGTTCAGCGTCTCCATTACCGAAGCTGCTGCATTGAGCTGCGGCCGCAAGGTGGTTGGTGCCTGCCATGGTGGTAATCCCCGAACCAAATGGTGGACACCAGAGAGGGAGCCACCAGGCTGAAGAAGGAGTCCTATCGGGCTTGGTTAGCCTGTGGGACTCCGGAGGGAGCTGACAGGTATCGACAGGCCAAGAGGAATGCGGCTCGGGCAGTGGCTGAAGCAAAAACTCGAGTGTGGGAGGAGTTCGGAGAGGCCATGGAAAAAGACTTTCGGACTGCCTCGAAGAGATTCTGGCAAACCGTCAGGCGTCTCAGGAGGGGAAAGCGGTGCTCTACCTGCACTGTGTATAGTGCTGGCGGAGCGCTGCTGACGTCGACTGAGAAAATTGTCAGGCGGTGGAAGGAATACTTCGAGGACCTCCTTAATCCCACTGACACGTCTTCCGAGGAGGAAGTAGAGTCTGGGGATGAGGGGAATGATCCGCCAATTTCCGGGGGCGAGGTCACTGAGGCAGTTAAACAACTCCTTGGTGGCAGAGCCCCTGGTGTTGATGAGGTCCGCCCCGAGTTCCTGAAGGCTCTGGACGTTGTAGGGCTGTCCTGGTTGACACGCCTCTGCAATGTTGCGTGGAGATCAGGGCAGTACCTGTGGACTGGCAGACCGGGGTGGTGGTCCCCATCTTTAAGAAGGGGACCGGAGGGTGTGTTCCAACTACAGGGGGATCACACTCCTCAGCCTCCGGGGAAAGTCTATGCCAGGGTGCTGGAAAGGAGAGTTCGTCTGCTAGTCGAACCTCGGATACAGGAGGAACAATGCGGTTTTCGTCCTGGTCGCGGAACACTGGACCAGCTCTTTATGCTCTCGAGGATACTTGAGGGTGCATGGGAGTTTGCCCAA